CATCAGCATCATCTCTTCTTCTTCATGTTTTACAAACTTTGCATCACTTTCTGGATTATTTCGTTTTTCTGGACAATAACTCGAATAGTGACCATACTTATGACAATTGTAACATTGAATGTGACTCTTATCAGGTTTTCGACCATCACCTCTTTCTCTATTTGCAACACCACCTTTTTAGTTGCCTTGGTATAGTCTTCTCTGATTCGACATGTTTCCTTCGTTCTGGTTTCCTCTACTAGTCGATTTGTTGTAGCCGCCTCTACCTCTGTCGAACCACTTTCCTTTGCTTTTGGTTTCTTTTGCTGAATGTGCCTGCAAAGCCACATCACTTTTCGACTTGCCTGCAGCTCTTTCATTCATTCTTTGTTCATGAGATTCAAGCGTCTCTTGAAGCTCTTCCTTTGTCAATTTCGACAAGTCTTTCCCCTCTTATATAGCCACCACCACTTGGTCGAACTTAGGATCCAAAGATCTCAAGATCTTCGAAACAACAGCTCTTGTTGTTAATGTTTCTCCACATGCCTTGATTTTGATTCACTAGTTTTGTAACCCTAGTGAAGAAATCAGATATTCTCTCACTATCTTCCATCTGAAGCAATTCATACGTTCTCTTGTGAGTTTGTAACTTCACTTCTTTCACCTTTTCTACACCACCAAAGGACTTCTCGAGTACATCCCAAGCTTCTTTTGTAGATTCTGAATCACTTACTTTTTCAAAATTTTCTAGACTCACACATTGATGAATTAAAAAGAGTGCTTTATAACTCAGCTTCTCAATTTCTGTGTGTTTCTTCTTTTCTTCTTCTGAAGCGTTTTCTCCAAGCGCTTCGGATCCATCTTTTATAAGATCTCAAAGTTCTTGACATCTGAACAACACTTTCATTTGTTTGCATCAATTCTCATAGTTGTCTACTTTCAGAATTGGTAGAGTTGCTGGATAATTTGCATTCCCATAATTCGCCATTGTGAATTCTTTTTCTTCCTCAATCGTTCTTGATCGATACTTCCCTTGAATCGAAACCGAGCTCTTGATATCAGATGTTGGAAATCTACCAAATATCTATAATGAATTTATACCACAATGACAATGAATTATGAGAAAAAAAGAAAGAAGTCAATTATTTTCTGCAGAGTTTTTCTCTGCCTACAAACTGTGGAAAACTTTTTTATTCACTTTGCAACTGCAAAATACTGTGAATGACTTGATTGACTTAATTACAAACTTAGGGGTTACTCCCTATTTATAGATTTTGATTAGCTTAAAGCCCAAAACTATAAAAGTCCAAAATATCTATTTTGTTACTAAATCAAATCTATCTATTTTAGATCTAAATCAAATCTATTTAAATCTAAAACAAATCCAATATGTGTGCTCTTCGACACACCATAGTTTTGACACTATGAATTACAATTTAACAATAAAAATGAAAAGAAAAACATTGCAGGATACATATTCATGATTGGTGGAACTACAATATGATAGTGTTCTAGGAAACTATATGTAGTAGCTCTTTTATCATGTGAAGCTGAGTATATTATAGCATATGTCAAAGCATATGGCTGCAAATGCTCATGAAGGAACTCAAATTGGACACATGGTAGATAGAAGTAAACGTATATTGAAGAAACTACACTTCTCTAGTGATCAAGTAACCAAAGAGAACTTAAAACTTGATTACTGCAAAACTAAAATCAAGTTGCAGATTCCACTTGATTTAGTTTATAAACTTGATTTTCTTCTCACAACTTTCACAGACATGTGTCTAACCTTATTAGTACTCTTGGTTTTTCTTTTCAAATACAATAGGAACATGTTTATCCTTAAAGATGAAATCTGTCGAAGGGGACTTGGAGATCAATGACAAGTTGAGAATATCAAGTACTTATAGGGGTGTGCATGGTTATCAAATTTTAAGAACCAATCCATTTTAATGGCTGTAGTTTTAAAACTAAATCATTTTTTATAATAACCAATTTAAAATTGCAAAATGGTTTCAATTCGGTTCAAAACCGGTTTTCAATCAAAATTGATTTATAAGGAAATTGTATCTTTCTTAATTTGAAGAGACGAAAAAAATTCAGGTTAATGAAGGGAACAAGATGCAAAGGCATGTGTCATTTTTATACTATTATATTCAAACACCAGCACAAATCGTTTTTCACAATTTTTTTGAAAAGCAAAAAAGTAAAATTCAATTTAAGAGTAAAAACATTACACTTTAATCTATGATAAAGTTGCACCAGAACACTAAAACTAAAACCCAAAAAAATTAAAACAAAACATCCTAAAACCAAGACAAAATCTACTTCAAAACAATTGCTACACTATAACAGTTAAACAAAAAAACACAGATTAACAATCGTTCATCACAATTAACTTAATAAATTCTTCTTCCCTTAACTAATCATCATTCTAATTAACTAATTAATAATAAATAAAATAAAATATATAAACTAGTTTTCCATTTTCAATTTGAATATTATATAAATTGGTTTACATGAATTTGAATTTATTGTGCCTTAATAATATCTTATTCATTAATAATAATATCATATACATTTGTTTTTATGTATGACAACTGGTTATCAAAAATGGAAACCAAATTTTTATTTTGATATCAAAATAAATCTGGAGCGGTTCACATCCAACACAAATTGAATTATAAAAATTAGTGTACTGAATTTTTAAAATTGGTTGTGTAAACCAATTTTTTTGCACACTCCTAAATACCTATACAAAAGATGATGTAATTAATGAGTAAAAAATAATCAAATATACAAGATGAGAGTTATACTTAACGGAGTATATAGAGAGCATGCCTTAGCATTTTCCTTAGCAAAGCCATTTTCTGTTTGAGGGGAAAATGCTTGTATCAATAGCCATGAATCAATTGTTTTCTCAAAGTGAGATTTCAGTGGTTGACATAGCCATTGAGTTATCCGAGCTTTTCATGTTTAATATATATTAAAAGTCACATTGTACTTTTAACTATTGATTTTTCCTCAAACTTTGCTTATCACTTAGCTTATGCTTGGCGTTTGATAGAAGCAAGGATCCGTTGCTTAAGAAAATCACGCTGCATATACCCTTAAACTTTAGCGTTAGCGGCAACTGACCGAGAAACCAAACATAACCTAATTACCTTAATAGAAAAACAATGTATGTCCTAATTTCGTTACTTGTGGAGAGTAGTTTATTGTCTTAAAATAATAAGAGAAGAAAAGGTAAATTTATTAATGTGTGGTGATGGATATGAAAATAAATAAATAAATTGAAAAATAAAACCTCTTAATAGTCAAAGTAAAAGAAAAAAAAACAAATATCCTTCTTGTAGTTTAGCCATATTATAACCTCAAGAAATACATGATGGATTTATTAGAAACATATAACCTCATGGAGTAATACACATCCGTAAAGATAATGTTGAAACAACTTTAATTTAGAAATTATGTTCACATGCTTTGGTAAAACGGGTTGGATCCGTCGGATTGGTTCTGTTAGGTTAACCCGTTTGATTCGCTATTTTTAGTGGATTGTGCTGAGGTTTTCGATTCGATATCTTAAGTTGGTTCGTCCCTAACTCGCTTAAAAAAGCAGGTGGGACGGATTTTTCCCGCAGCCTTTTTGTTAAAACTTTTACTCTTTTTATTAAGAATTAAAACAACTTTAATTATGAAAACAACACTTATCTCTTAAGATTTTATTATAAATTATTATATAGACAAATTGAATTATAATTGTAACATTTTTTCTAACTTTTTAATACATGTGTTGATTGAAAATGATTGAAATAAAAGAACAAATATATGACATACATAATTATTAAGTTTTTAATATATTAGTTCAAATGTTTTCTTTAAAAATAGATGTTGATCATATAAAAATGAATGATTTGATTAGTGTATACGTGTGATAAATTAAGGATTTAACTATTAAAGAATCGGTCAATATAAGAGTTTATATAATGTAAAATACGCATTACTATTTTATGTATTTTCATGTTTTATGCAATGTTATTGTTATCATTATTGATTTTGTGTAAATTTTAAATTGGATTCTTTTAGTAGTTAGTTTTTAAATAGGATTATGATGATATGTATTGTTTATTTATTTTGATATTTTTTATTATGTTTAAATTGTTTGAACTTAAGACATCTTGAAGTTCTATTATGTCTTGTTAAAAAAATTTCTTTATCGACCTCTTTAATAATAATTAAAAAATTTCTAAATTATGTATTAAATCAAATTGTAAAAATAAAAAAATAAAAAAATTAGCTGGACCGACCCACCAACTCATTAATAAACAGGACATGCTTGGCTTTTAAGTTCGGACTCCTATGTTGATCTGCCCCGTCTCGTCATTTTTTTAGACGGACTTAAACGGGACCGGCCGTCCACTTTGCTAACCCCATGTTAGTTTTGATTCATTAATACTATAAAATTGCACTTTGAACTTGCATTTCATGAATCATTCACGTCTGAAATGATATAAATTAAAAATTCTTGAACTGTTGCAAAACTTGAATGCCAAAAATGCATAACTGATATTTGAACATTGTTTTAAAATTGTTTTGAAATCCATTTTGTTTGGGGATAAACAAAGTTCTAATTTTAGGAGAGTTGATAAGTGATAACTTTAAGGTAAATTTTCAGATATAATTTACAATACTTATTAACTTGTTTTGTAAGAAAACATATGAAAGTACCTCAATTCATTGTAAATATTAGATTATATGGTTTTAGGTATGATCTTCTATCGGTGAAACCTACATCGAGTTTCATAGAACACAAGATGACTTTGGTTCAAAATCACTTGGGATGAATATGATACTATCCTTATCTGAGAATAACTCTAATACATATTAGATATTACATATACTAGTATATCATAAACGTCTGTAATTTAATGTGGAGCGGAATAACATTGTACTTCTCCTGATATAGGTATAACCTTCCCCTCAAGTACCAAATTTTGGAAGTTGATTCCACAAAGGATTCATAGTTTTCTTCCATCTATGCCGCGCTTTAAAAATTCCAACCTTTTTCTGCAATCAACCACATGATATAAACATCACATTTTAAACGTCAAAAAGACAATAACAGGGGCTGACACACTACCATGGAAGGAGTAATCATACTAATACTAAAACTAATTACCACAGGCCAACATATATGCGCGTGGGTAAAAACATTGTTGATGTCATTTTATATTTATAAACTAAATCTAACTCAATAAGGTAACTTGTCAAATTCCAGTATTGTTGAACCAGAATTTGTACACTTTCAGTTAAAAATTAGTTTTCATCTTGCAGCAGCTTTTAACAAGTATATCAGTTACTTTTGTCAAAGCACATCCTAAGAAACTGAGATTCCAATAATATTCATGGACCTAACCCCTAGACATATTAACTAATATAATAACAAAAGATTTTCACTAATGGCAATGATGGATGATAAACATTACTTGGAGTCCGTAAGGCGGCCGTGCAAGCTCCATCTTTGGCGGAAACCTTCAATGCCCTCAACTCCACTAGCAAGAATCAAGCGCCTACGCATTCAAATGAATTAGTGTGAAAGCCTGATATCGTTATATTATTTTTTTTTATGCCCATACATTGAAAATCTCAACAGAAAATTCTTATGATAACCAGATATCAAATACTTCAACATCATATAGCCGGGCGTCAAATAATTAGTGTAAAAGCCAAAGTGAAAGAGATAATTTCAGCCTAGAGAAATATTGGAGACAGTAAGGCAATCCAAGTGCAATTATGAACTCAAGAAAGTAAGGCCTTTCGATTGATTTTTTATTTATTTTAAATATTCATCTCCAAATGTTAAAAAATCAGAACAAAGAAATTTTCCCTAGCTTCAGAGGTGGCAATTGAATTCTTGTACGGAGACAAGTTCAATTATACTTTCTGTAGAACAATATGTTGCTGGAGTTTTAAAAAAACAAAAGCAGAAATATGATAGTTAAAAAAATTTAAGCATGCTAACAGAAGCTGCGCTCCAGAAATTTCATGGAAAAAAAATCAGATTCAAAGATCTTCCATTAACCAAACATGGACCGCAACAATTAATTGAAGATACCTCTCCAATGATGTAACTTCTGCCTCAAGTTGGGTAGTCCTCTCCTTGGCTGCATCTAAAGGCATTGATGAACCCAATTTGAATTCACTATCTTGAAGCCGATTTCTTATCTCCTTATCCTGCAATTTTTTTTTTCAAAAGTAAAAATGAAATAAAACATGATGATCTAATAAAACTGATTTGTTATTATCGTGTCTCTCTTTCTCTCTCTCTTAAATATTACAGTGAGTGATGCAAAATGTTGAAATTGCAAAGAAAAGGTAAAAATATCAGTTGAAGTAGTTAAAGAAATAGTTAGGAGGAAGAGAGTATAAGTATCTAACATCAATGATCTCACCCTTCTTTCAGCACATTGTTTATATAGAGCAATCTCGTCTTGACAGAATGGTTCAATGTCATTGATTTGCAAGCCTAAAAGATATGAATGAAGCTTATAAGATATTTGAATATGACAATGCTATAATAGATAAATGTGACCATTTTGAACGAACAACAAAAATCATGTAATGTCGTTTTCCATATTTATCAGTGGGTTGAACCTTGCCTAAGTTTAATACCTTAACCTCTCCACTCTGTTCAGACTCAATAAATGTTGGTGATAAAGGGCAAGAGGTGGTTACTCATGTTTTCAGTTTTCACACGTACTTAATTCCACGTCTTCAATCATACAAAATTGTATGGACCAGAGGGGTGCCATTGTGAAAACTGGCAGGACCACTCATTGGTTGGGGCAAGAAACTCCCAGCAAAGCTTTAGCAACATATGAAGCAACAGTTACAATCTTTAGTGTTGACATCTCTCGCCCAAACAAAATGGCTGACCCATTTATTCCTGTTTTTGAGAAGAGTGACAGACCAAGGATAAAAACGGAAGCTATATATCAGAATTTTGGGTTGGGCCTAACTCATCCCTGCAAAACCGGCTTGTAAGGTGAGGTCATCACATGCACCCATTACAACCTCCTTTATTTCAATTTGGCCAGCTTAGGTATTCATCTCCTGTATCACAGGGGATGATGTCTCTAGGTCCTCAATCAATGTCGTTTGTTCAGACTAATATCCCATCTGGTTTCCCTTTTAATCATAACTCTGGAAGCCAAATGCCAGTTCAAAGTGGTCCAGTGTCTTCTGAGTCGTTTATTAAGAATGATATCAGGCATCAGTCTGTTCTTGGCCAACCAGGTAATTCAAGAAGTTATCTCATGGTTCACTGCCAAGTGAGAATGCAGAAAATTTGGCTGGAATAAAGCAGGGACAAATTAATGCTCCTCCCGGTGATGTTAATAATAGCACAAGGGCTGCTTCTAGTTTCCAATTGGACAAGCGTAGGAGTCAAAATGTAGATGGAAAGAGCAGCAGCACTTCATCCAATGCTAAACACTCAGAAGTTCAGCCTCATATCAAAGATGCACTTCTTCATTCAGTTTCAAAAGAGACAGATTTAATGGAGTCAAAAGCACGGTTTTCTGTATCTGGTGGTAGAGGACAGAGATATGTCTATACAGTAAAAACTTCAAGCTCGAAATCATCAGCTCCAGGTCCAGGCTCAGGTCTAGCTTCCAGGGTTAATCGAGCTGACTCCAGAGGATTTATGAGGAGGCCTAATAGGAATACACAGCGCACCGAGTTCTGCGTTCGAGAAAGTGCGGATAAGAGGCAGCCTTCGAATTCTTTTCCAACTGATCAGTTTGGGTTGGACCATCAGTCAAATGTCACTGGAAGGAGAATAGGCATGGCTGGAAGAACTGGATCTAGTAAGTCTTTCACCAATAAAAAGGGAAAACAGCCAGTAGAATCAATGGGAGAAAGTTCAGATGGCATGGATTCTGGAAGCAGAGCTAAGAGGGTTGAAGGAAAAGAATCAACAAAGGCTCAGAGCATGTCACATTCTGGGCAGAGTAATCTCAAAAGAAACTTGTGTTCTGAAGAAGATGTCGATGCTCCATTGCAAAGCGGAATTATACGTGTGATTGAGCAACCTGGAATTGAAGCTCCTAGTCATGAAGACGACTTCATAGAGGTCAGGTCAAAGAGGCAAATGATAAATGATCGGCGAGAGCAAAGAGAGAAAGAAATCAAGGCTAAATCTCGTGTCGCAAAGCTGCCACAGAAAACCCGTTCCACCACACAGTACCGTGACCATGGCCAATTCAAGCAAAGGATCCATTTCTACTGGAGAAGTGTCTGCTGCTGCCGATGGGCACCAGATGACAAAGAGTGATTCCTCATCTGGATATAATTCAAACTTACTGTCCCAGGCACTACCTCCTATAGGTACACCTACGAAAATTGATGCCCAGCCTGATCTAAGATCTCAAACGAACAGATCACTTCATACGAGCCTCCCATCAGTTTCTGGTCGTGAAAGCAAGAAGAAGGTCCATGAGAATGTTCAGACATCTTTGGGCTCTTGGGGCAATGTGCAAATTAGCCAGCAGGTCATGGTGCTGACACAGACACAACTCGACGAGGCTATGAAGCCCCAACAGTTTGATTCACAGGCTTCTAGTGCCAATATGGCAGCTTCTGTTATGAATCCAGCTTGCCAGCACCATCCATTTTGATAAAAGAGAAAGCATTCTCATCTGCAGCCAGTCCAATAAATTCCTTGCTTGCTGGAGAGAAAATTCAATTTGGTGCAGTGACATCTCCAACGGTTCTTCCTCCTAGCAGCCATGGTGTGTCTCATGGTACTGGCCCCCCTCGATCATCTAGATCAGACATGCAAATATCCCACAACCTAGCTGGACCGGACAATAATTGCAGTCTTTTCTTAGAGAAAGGAAAGCATGGTAATGAATCTCATGGACAATTAGAAGATTGGGATGCGGAAGCTGAAGCTGAAACCGAAGCAGCTGCTTCTGCTGTTGCTGTTGCTGCCATTGGTAGTGATGAGACTATTGGAAATAGGTTGGGTACTTGTTCTGTCTCAGTTTCAGATGCTAAAAGTTTTGTAGCTGAAGATATTGATAGGGTAGTAGCAGCAGGAGTATGTCGTGAGCAACAATCTGCTAGCCAATCCAGATCTGAGGAGCCTCTTAGTGTATAACTCTTCCTGCTGATTTATCTGTTGAGACACCACCAATTTCCTTGTGGCCTGCTTTACCACATGTACAGAATTCTTCAGGCCAGATGATCTCACATTTTCCTGCCGTCCCTCCTCATTTTCCTTCTGGCCCACCTTCTCATTTTCCTTTCTATGAAATGAATCCTATGATGGGTGGTCCTGTGTTTGCTTTTGGACCACATGATGAGTCTGCATCTACAACACAGTCGCAACCTCAAAAAACTACCGCACCAACATCAAGGCCAATTGGGGGCTGGCAACAGGGTCATTCTGGCGTGGAACTTTTATGGTCCTCCAACAGGATTTACTGGACCTTTTATTGCTCCGCTTGGAGGATTCCAGGAGTCCAAGGGCCTCCACACATGATTGTTTATAACCATTTTGCACCTGTTGGACAATTTGGTCAAGTTGGCTTGAGTTTCATGGGTACAACTTATATCCCCTCTGGAAAGCAGCCTGGTTGGAAACACATCCCTACAACTTCTGCGGCAGGGACTAGTGAAGGGAATATGAACAATATGAATTATGACATCTTCTCAGAGGAATCCTGCTAGCATGCCTTCTCAAATTCAACATCTTGCTCATGGTTCACCACTTCTGCCAATGGCATCTCCAGTGGGTATGTATGATGTTTCTCCTTTTCAGCACTCTACTGAGATGTCAGTGCAAGCTCGATGGCCACATGTTCCTAATGCTCCACCCTCATCTATTCCACCATCAATGCCATTGCATCAACAAGAAAGTCTTCAAACTTCTCAGATGAGCCATGACCATTCAGTTGACCAGCCACTAAATGTCAAAAGATTTACTGTTTTCGGACTTCAACATCTTCTGACAGTGATAGGAATTTTTCTAGAGCAGCTGATGTAAATGTCAACCAATTACCTGAAGAACTTGGATTAGTGGAAACTTCAAATTCCACTGCTTCTAAGACTTCATCTAAGGGTATTATTAATAAGACCCCATCTGAGAAAACCAGTACAGATGTTGCTGCCAAAGTTGATGTTCAGAATGGAAATAACAGCAAAAGTAATAACCAGAATGCAAGTTCTAGTTACCGGACCCAAAAGGTTGTAATTTTATGCAACCAAAGGAAACAAAAAATAACTGCAACAGGCACAGGTAATCCCAGTTAAAAAAATAAGAGGGGATAACAAAGACTTACACAAGAATAGATTCCTGAGAATTCCATCACATAGATCAACACCTTGGAGCACATGCGAAGCTATTTCTGGCGGTACTATTGGTGATGGAGGACCCATCATTAGATCATCACCAACCAAAATTGTTTCCTCCATAGTTGGCTGTGAATCAACTGAAACCCACACACATAAGCTTATTAACAAGGTGTTTCCTCTTTTTTATCAGATGATATATCCTAAAATCGAACCTTTCCATTTTAATTTGGAGATATATTTTGACGACCCGAGTCAAAAACAACTTAAACCCAAAATGAAGTAAATAATTTGTAGCAGAGATTACATACCATCCATGGTTGCTTTCTGGATAAGTCAAATGTATCCAACCACCAAAACTGTAGTAAATTGAATGCCCTAATTAGAGGATGGTAAGTAAATGAAAGAGTACATGCTTATGATTGAGAATACTTACACTTCAGATGAGTGACACGGCGACGGCTGAATGGACGTAGCTGAAATGCACCTTCTTCCGATGCGGTGGTGAAAAGCAAAGTGTGAAGTGTAACAAACTAAGCGTACGCAGAACCGAATAAAATGAAGCGGAATAATTATTTTATGACAAATGTGAAAATAATTATTTTTTAGCTACTATGTGTTTTCGAATTCTTAGACTCAAACGAACATCTCCTTAAAAATAAAGTGCCTAATAGCCTAACTTTTTTTTCTTAAAATTGAAAACAATATAAGAAATATAAATTGAAAGAAATGAAATGAGCCAGAATAATAAATAGCTAATAATATATTAAAAAATTAATTAATGTTACATTAAAATTGTAACTTGATTAATAATTTAGAATATTTTTTTTTACAAAGTGATTGATAAGTTAAAATAAAAGAAATATAAAGAGAGAAAATTAAATAGAAAATGTGAAAACAAGAATAAAAACTTACGAGTACAATTTTTTTTTCTAATATGTTAATTTAATCTTAGGAGTGAATTCCGAAGAATACAATATATTTGAATAAGAAAATTAGAGAATTTTAAAATACTAAATAATTTAATGATTCAATTAAAAAAACTATTTTAAATTTCTTTATTTAAATATAATACTAAATTTATTCATTATTGAATTTTTAAAGTTATTTTGAAAAGTTTTCGATCAAATTTAAAATTTAAAATATAGATCAAATTGCAATTTTTTAAAATTTAAATAGATCAATTTTAGTCTCTATAAGATTTTCCTTGAAAAATTAGTCCCTACAAATTTTGCCATCCTCATTATTAGTTTTCATTATTAGTTTCAAGGTTAAATCTCAATTACAGTAGATGACGTGTCATTACATGTAACTAAAATATTTTTTGGCTTAGTTGTTTTTATTTTTGTTTAACAGGTGGAGCCGTTATTTTACTGAAGCTCGAGTCGTATCGTAAATGCAAATCACCCAACGTTTTGAGAAGTCGCAAATTCTTCGGTTTTCAATTTATGTCGAGAATGGATGACATTATTAGGAGCGTGTGATTGATCTAATGGTCGGTAATACTTGAAAGTATGACAAACTTTGGCACTTAGAGAAACCATTGCCTAAAATATTACACATATTGAGTGAGTAGCAATGTGACTTTTTAGAATAAAACATAAAATGCTACTGAAAGATACATTGTTATAAAAGGAAAATGAAATTCATTCAAGCAATGCGAGAGCACAGCAGTCAAGGTTAACACAGATGCATCATGATTTCCATTTGTGAAATGTTGTTTGTCCCCCAATGTACATTCTCCTCTAAATATTCCACCTCTCCATTAGTCATCAAGTTGTAAAACTGACCCCAGAACTCAACTCAATATCCATTAAATTACGTTAAAATATCAAAATGAGGAATGAAAGGCTTATAGTACATTTTGGTATACCGCCTGACAAACAATTCTAAAACAAAGACTCTACTTTGTTGTGAACTGAAGGTTAAAAATGCCTTAAAATTACGCTCTCTAACAAAAGCAACTAAGTTAACAAAATTTCAAGAGGATATAACTCTTTCCCTGACCCTAAAAAGCTGCCTCCATATTCTGCCTTTTATAACTGTCAATGAATTCTTCAACTATCTTTTGCATGTATATGAATCACTTTCGCCTCAAAAAGATCCCCAAACAACCAACTGCGACTACCACTACAATACTTGCTCCAATATAATTCAAATCTGTAACTATGCTCTTGTTGTTGATTCTTGTTTGCGGAGACCTTTCCCCTAAACCACCCCGAAGAAGATTATTTAGATTGTCCATTTGATGCATGATCTGACGCTGGCCACGTGTAATGCCTGATATCTGACAACACATAGCAGTCAAGTGAATCAATAAGAGATAATGCCGCATTGATTCCAAAGTCACACACCTTGGTTATAAGAACTGGAGCTGACTTACAATGATTACAGCTCACAGAATGCCAATAAAATCCATTTGCAAATACAATGTAGAAAACTACTCAAGAGCTATTTTGATTTTAATCCTATCAAGATTCAAATAAAAGTTATTTATTATACTACCATTTTTCATTTTCCGTCTTTTAACCTATCATAGGCTCCTATAACATAAGATCAGTAATGAACATCCAAATTACGACCCAAACTGGATGAGAGAAATAAGACTTGTAAACAAAACAATCAAACATTTCCCTCCAAGAAAGTGCAGCTCTAAAATATCAGTTTAAAGGGTCAAAAGTTACAAAATAAAAGCAGGAGAATAAAATACCTCATCTATCAAGGGAGACTCCTTATTTAATTGGGATGTAGATGAAGAATGTGGCATCTTATAACCAGTTATGCTACCATTGCCCAAACTGTTGATGAAGTAAGACGTGGGAGCAGAACCATTGCAGGCTTCGGCTTGAGCTAACATATTTTGTTGGCTTGGAGACTTATTTCTAATGGTCAGCTTGCTATTCAGCTCTTCAATGCGATTTGTAAATTCATCCATTCTATCATTGAGGGCAGAAATCTGTTCTGAAAGCTGACTAATGGCTCTCTATCAAATATTAGATGAATGAGAACAAAAGATAGAAATAACTGATCGGGGCTTTGAGGAATTAATCCACATAGAAGTGATGATTTAAGTTCTGTATGGTCACATGAAATAAGAATTACCACAAGTGATTGAAATTACCTGATTTAATTGTGTTGTGGAGGAATCTGAATTTCTTTCACCAAACCCTCGATTGTTGGTAAAATATCCATTAACTTTGGCTGCATTTTTGTCCCTTTGATTTGTATATGACTGTGACAATCCACTGTTGATGATATACACGAATTAAGTAATAGCAAGTAGTTTTCCAAGAATATTAAGAACTTTCTATGTCAAAAGTACTCTAGCCCTTCCTAGATTCAGATGAACTCACCCATATATTTCCTCTTATCGTCAAATATACAAAAATGAAAACCCCTCTCAACATTGACACCAACACTTCAAACTAGTAAAGGCAGTAACATAGAAGTGGCTCAAAAAGAGTAATAAAATCAGCCATGTTGATACAACAATTAAGTTAAACTTTAATCAAAAAGTGAATATTATTTGACATTAAATTCAAACCATGTATAGACTACGCAATTAAGATAGGTCTTGTCGTAAGAGGTTGGGGTAATATACATGTGGTCCTAAGCACAAAATTTTACTGCCTCCATTTATTATACCACAAAAAAAAATCATGCAAATGTAGATAAATAATTCCTTGCCAAAAGAAGACTACCAAGTAACAAAATTTCTCAATAATTACAAATTCATCCAAGGTAGATTGTTACAACAGCTGATTTTCTCACTCAATATATTGGCAAATAATTTTGCCGATGTAGGTTTGCTTTGAGCTGCTTTATCTACTAAATGATAAATGTCCATGACATTTGACCAAATGATATTGACACAACAACAATCAAGCCTTGTCCTAATAGTCAGGGTTACCTAAATGGACGAGTCAAGACTGCCAAATTCAATAAAATAAATAAATCATTGAAAGCATGGTTGTTTTTCCTTATGTACTTAGATAGAAAAAATTTACCTCCTCATATTCTCATTTCTCATCGCAACCCTGTCAGCAGAGGCTCTAGAAAGTGCTTCTTTGGGGCTTGAAACCAAATCCTCATCTAGGCTGAGCTTTGTCTTCAAATCATCTGGCAGAGCCTGTGGAACGGTCAGATAGAGAATGTTGATATAGGATTATATATTAGCAGATGGTTAACATACATACCATAACCTCATTCACAAGCCTTTCAAGTTGAATTTGCTCGATGTAAGTACGAGGAATGTAGGAACCTTCTAGACCCAGCTGATCTCCAATCTCTTTCAAAACTAAGCGATCTTTCCCTTGTACCTGTTTATTGTAAACTTCCAAACAATTCAGGCAAACACTATTTGTTATCAACCTTAAAATCAAAATGTAAATCAGAAATAGAAGAGCAAAATGTTTATGCCATGTGTCAGGTGATAAATACTGACTTTTTACTTGAAGAAATGAAAGTCAACATTGAACACAAACTGTGAAGTCACAAGTTGAATACAAATGATTTTTTTCTGTTGGACAGAACTATTTTTGTAGAGATCCTTAATGCAACAGTTGGATTTAGTTGTCGTGTGACTAGGATATCACGGATCTGAGTCATCAAATCAGTCCTATTGCAAATGCAACTGAAACAGTGAGGTTTCCTAGAATATATCTGCAATGGATCTGACCCTTCTCTAGAACCAACTATGGTGGAAGCTTTATAAAATTATAACACCAGGTTGGTCAATTTTCTTTGGGAGTTATTTCCTTATCTTGATAAATAAAATGAGAGGGGGCGAATATTTGATATGCTTATTTTAAGCAACAATCGCATCTCTTTAGCTTTAGGCTAAAAGTTTGACACCAAACAGCTCTATTTTATTTTACAAATCTGTAAGAAAAATGGACCATAAACTGAACAATAGACTGATGTATAGTAAAAAAAAGTATAAACTCATTGACCCGATAATTTCTAAAATAAACCCAGTTTGAACTGATCAATCAAAACACAAAGGATAAATGGGCATGCACGTCTATACACGGAATCCTATAAACCTAGAGAATTTCAACAAATGTAAAATCCAAATAAAGCATATATTGTTAGAAAGATAGTATTATAGACTTGTGATAGAGTTACCTGAACATAATGTCGATTAAGTTGCTCAAGCCAATCTAGTTTCACACAAACCTTATCATCAGAAAAGACATGGCTGTTTCTCTTAAGGATAGTAGCTATTGTGTATCCCAAGGCCATTAGTCCACCAAGGAGGCGCACACTGACCTCAAAAGTAATTCTCGGCGATATCACAAAGGGATTGTCTGTCACCCATTCCTGAAAAGGTACCAGGTATTAATTAGCTGCCACCATGCAAAAAGTTAATTATCCAGGCATCAACTATGGAGTATTATAAAAAAATAATATGCAAGATACCTAAACACACTCTTATGTTATTTGCCTCAGCACCTAGTACGAGTGATATTATCCGTGCTTCAAAAAATATGTTTGCAATATTAAGCAATATTTTATTATTTATGAATTAAATCCCTAAAAGATGTTAAGTCAATTCCAAAGAATTATCAACAGAGGCAAGCATACGGTTAGATATATAGGGATGTTCCAGTTAGCCTTAAATTTGTAATTTTATATGTTTAGCAGTATGCATTATTATTCTATACAATTTTGTACAGCTGTATAAGCTCGTAAGACAAACTCCATTCACTTAATAGAATTCAGAGCATAACGTCTGAAGTATAGTGCTACTGTGTAGTGGGATTTGGACAAAACAATATGAAAACAGATAAAATTCGACAAATTTTGCTTACACCGCAATAGCGTGATAGGAACCGATACCAAAGTACAAACTATTTATAATTAACAATTGACAAATAAACCAACCCCTAGGAATTAGAGAGCCTAGTCTCTCCCAAACCAATTAACCACTAAAATATTTCCTGGATATCCCTCTAACATGTGATTTCCTTATTTTATATTCACATCACCTATAACTGCCTCATAACCGCCCCATAACTGCTACTAGTTATTAATTAAAAACTAGAAACTGTTAATGAAAATAAATAACTGCCTATAACTAACAATACTCCCCCCTAAACTATCACCTTGTCCTCGAGGTGAAGACGAAGGATAACAAAAGTGTCCACCAGGATCCCATAACTTGAAGTAGAGTGATAGAGCAAGGCGTAAAACATGATAACTTATGCCTAGATCATACACTTTGTATTGAGTGGTCTGTCTGACCGAAAAACATAGTATGACAGTAGTAGGTATTAACAACGCCGGTTTGATCAAACTAGAGTATAATGCACCCTTCACCCAGGACTCGTTTGGGCCTGGCGGCGCTAGGCTGTCCAACTTGAGTGAAGCCCTTCTCTCTCCGACAATTGTTCTAGATAGTCTTGTCCTCGATTCAGACACCATACTCTCGTCATGCTCATCAAAGTGTCTGTTGATACCAAAAAATTTGCAAAAGTCTGCTTTTGTCACTTGCTTTTCGACGATGACATTCACGAGAGAATTCCGGCCATCTTCTAGAGCCCTAAGATGTGTTTTTGTCGGGTATTCCTCTACCCAAAAGGGATATAAGTGTTTCCATCCTCCATCTAAAAAGTTTTTCGTGTTGCGGGATGTTACTTTTCATGAGGAAGAACCGTACTTCACTCAACCTTATCTTCAGGGGGAGAATTTTAAGGAAGATAAGCTTGAAAATCTCGATCTTTCTGGTCTTTAGTCAAATACACTCAATCTGTCTAGTATTAAGTCAAATACATCTGGTCATTCTAGTCATAAGTCAATTACACTCGATCTCGCTAGTCTCAAGTCAAATCCACCTAATTCTTCCAGTTCTGAGTCAAATAGACCAAATCTTTCTGGTCGAGTTAAACACGCTTGTACCAGACCCGTCTGAGGCTGAAGAACTAGGAGTTGAGTCAAATCAATCAAATACACCACTTGCTGAACTTGGACTTGGAGTGGATGAAAGATATGGAAAGAATCTGGTTTACATGAGAAAGTCAAAGGCCATTCCTGAATCGACACAAGTTCAAGAGTCTGACTCAACTCCTTCGAATGAGTTGATTAATTCTTCTGAATTACAAGATAAAATGATGACCCAAACAACAGATGATTACCTAGACCTTCCAATTGCTATTAGAAAAGGTACTAGAAAATGAACCAAACAGCCTTTATATCCCCTTTCAAACTATCTTTCTTTTCAAAAATTGTCACCTACCCATAGAACCTTCCTTACAAACCTAAATGCTACTTCCATATCTACTAATGTTTCTGAGGCATTGTCTGAAGAAAAATGGAAGCAAGCCATGAATATCAAGATGAACGCATTGAAGAAGAATGGAACTTGGGAGTTAGTGACTATACCGGAAGGAAAAAGGCCGGTTGGATGCAAATGGGTGTAGACAGTAAAATATAGGGCTGATGGATCAATCAAAAGATATAAAGTAAGGTTGGTTGCCAAAGGGTATACACAAACCTATGAAATTGACTATTCAGAGACATTTTCTCCAGTTGCGAAGATGAATTCAGTGAGAGTAATTTTGTCACTTGCTGCCAATTATGGTTGGGATTTACAACAATTTAATGTGAAGAATGCCTTCTTACATGGGAAACTCGAAGAAGAATGCCTTCTTACATGGGAAACTCGAAGAGGAGATTTATATGCAGGTACTAGGATATGAAAAAAATGTGCCTGACAATACAGTTTGCAGGTTGAAAAAGGCGTTATATGGACAAAAACAATCACTCGAGCATGATTCGAAAGATTCACTAAGATTATGACATCTTTGGAGTACAAGCAAAGTCAAGGGGTTCACACCTTGTTCATCACTCGCCACAAGGGGGAGTAACAGTTTTGTTAGTATATGTGGATGACATTATAATGACAGGAGGTGATTGGAAGATGCAACAAATCTAGAGTCAGTGTTTGGCTAAGGAGTTTGAAATAAAAACTCTTGAAAAGCTGAAGTACTTCTTGGGAATCGAGGTGGCACAAGACATTTGTGAATTACTTTGGTTCAAAATTATTTTAGAAGATTTGAAAATCAAATGGGAAGGACCCATGAAGCTCTACTGTGATGATAAGTCAGCAATCAGTATAGCACATAATCCAATTCAACATGATCGAACTAAAATATTGAGGTTGATAGACACTTCATTAAAGAGAAGCTTGATAGTAGGCTGATTTGCACCCTAGATGTGTCCTCGCAAGGGCAACTTGCAGATATTCTCACTAAAGGATTGAGTAGCACAAATTTTGAACGAATTGTATCCAAGTTTAGTCACCAGTTTGAAGGGGAGTGTTAGAAATAGAAAAAATAAATTGTATGTTTCCCACTAAAATGAGCATTTAAGTCTTAGGTTCATGCATATTTAGATTCATGCATTTAGGGAGTTAGACTATTATTTATTGCTCCTTGTAAACATAATATGTAATTAATTACTTTCTCCGGTCCCTTTTATAAGGCACACTTCACTTTTTTAGATTCATTGAATAATTAATGTACCTGGTCTGGAAACAATCCAGGTACATTAATTATTCAATGAATCTAGAAAGGTGAAATGTTTCTTATAAAAAGGACCGGAGAGAGTATATAATGTGTATAAATATCAAGGTTACTGAGTGCTTTACTCACTCAAGCACATTCAGAAAAAAATTTATTCCTATTTTTCACACGATTATATTGGGGAAAGGGAGGACAGTGAATATCTTTTTCAAGTAATCACTATAGTTAAACTATGAGTATTGTCATTTTGAATGATTGAGTTTTTCAGTTAATATTGTTCTTTTTCTAATTTATGCTTATGCAGTTTTTTTATTTATATGAAATTGATTTACTTCAATTGTTATGTGCCTTCCACTATTTATCATAACAAATTTCTGGATGCTATTGATAGCACTGTTGGCAAAAAAAATTTACTATTTTCCATGATCCGCTATTGATAAATAGCAAGAGTGATAGTTACTGGTGACAACCAAGCTACTGAAAAATAGTTGTCATTGCTCATCAAATATCTTAAATTACAATATTGAAGTAACTTTTTCTCCTATTTAGGAATCAACACAGGAGTTTTCATCTCAAGTAATTATTTTATGACAGCAACAGATTGAAGTGCCCAATGAGACCCCAATCATGAACACTAGAATCATATTCAGAATTTTTAGTGCATGCTCAAGTCAATGCATCAAATTAAACAGTCCATTCCAGGTACATTAATTATTCAATAAATCTAGAAAGGTGAAATGTTTCTTATAAAAAAAGGACCAGAGGGAGTATTACATGGTAACTTTTTGGGGAAACATAACATTATTCAATGCCATAAGTATGCAGAAACTCCAACAACAAACTATTTGTTTAACATCCGCAGAATTAACATTTTGTACACACTTGGAGAATTTCCAAACCTCACATTATTGAATCCAATATCAAATTCAAGATCTTTTTAACAACTTAACCTTCCACATATTAGAGAACACACAATAACAAAAACATTGAATAATACATAACTACAACCAGCAAGGTTTATTTGGCTATACTAGATTCCTGCTTTACAGATTCATTTCTCTTCCCCTCAATAAAACAATACCATCTATTCTAGTTACTTGAAGCCAACTACTCTATGAATATCCTTCTAGATATCAGCTAGCGTATAAGTTTTTTAATGTATTAAGTATCTTGTTATGCTTTATTAGCCTTGTTAGGTTACTTAATATGCTAATTTATATCCTAAAATAAGAGTATAAATATGTTTTGGTGGTTTTTATCAAAACATAATATATCAAACTAAATCAATCATTGGAAGTCCTTCTATTTATGTCTTTCCTCAATATTTCAATTCAATTATGTTTGTCTATGAAATATAACAATGTTCATAATAAAGGAAACAAACCTCAAACATGAGACTGTATTTCCCATCCTTGTTTCGCATCCTTAAATATGATTGGCATGTTTCTGGGTCTTCACCGGGTGGTAGAAGATATATATCATAAGTTTGCTCGGTTGTTTCCTGACAATCTTCAGAGAGAACAGCTTTAATTTGATCAACTGCTACATTCTTTGCTGACTGAAACAAATAAGACAACAGATTACTAGCTGTCTTTCGTTCATCATCATAAGGATTAAAACCAACAGGATTGTCCATTTTTTTCTTTCCGTCAAATGAGCTACATTGGAACTAACCTTTAATATGTAAGTCGGGCTCTGGAATCCAGTAAATGGATTAAATTTGTTGGTGATTTTTATATGTGCCGTCTTGAGATCTGGCTCAATGAAAGCCTTGTACATTGGATATACCTGCAAAAATTTGAACTTCACCTGTAAAAGAAACTCGAAGATCCAGCAAAGTAATCTATAAAAGTGATGAAGGGGATTATAAAAGTATGAACCGTCTCAGATATTTGATGAATAATTTCTTCAGGCTCTTGGCCAGCACGTTGTATGTCACGTATAACTCGCTTTACAAGGTCAAGGTGAACTCCACCTGTAACAGAAACTCGAAGATCCAGCAAAGTTCGCAACTTCTCACTCAAGGCATAGATACCTTCTATAATCACAATATTGGAAGTCGGGGGTTCTACAGTCCTGTAAGCAGGGTACGCTTTAACATGAAATTGAAGGCATGCATATGTAATTGGAGTGCATGATCATTTCAAGTTTTGGTTCAATTGAAACCAATTTTGAACTAAATTATTCAGAAACTTCAGATTTACAGGAACAAACAGATATTGGTGGTGAATATTAAGAACATGGTATCAACCAATAGTATGGAGCTACACATCTTTAATTTTTATTTCCATCAAAATAGTGTTCCCTTAGCACTGGCCCAAGAAAGAAAAAATACCAACTCTGAAAATATGCAAATTGCGCGGAACAACTACTCAAGACGTCTTAGAATTTAACCTGTATCCTACGCGTGAACTGGACTTGAAATCATATATCGGAACTTGGACTGTCTTTCCTTCCTTTAAATCTTGTAAATTCTGGAGCAATGTGTCATAGTCAGTTAAGCGTGGATCTGCACAAAGAGATAGTAGAGCTGACAAGAGATTTGTTTCCTAACTTCAAAACAGTTAGCCTATGTTTAAATGTCCCAATAACCAAAGCCAAGCATAAAAACCAGACTACTCGTTGCAAGCATTCTAGCTCACCTCTCCAAAGCATGCTGCTTGCAAATGAATGGACTCCAATAAAGCCTCGAGAAATTTAAAAACACACATATCTCACAGAGAGAGAAGGAAAAACGAAGAAAAAAACCATTTTCATTGAGTCCAAGGCAGAGTGGTTGATTGCAGTTGTAGGATGATAACAGTACTTTATTTTTCGCCTTTTGGAAGCTAGTTTGGTGATTCCTTCATTTGTTTTAATTTTAGTTTCGGTTATTTAGTCTTCTATAAAAACATTATTCTCTTCCATCATTGACATTTCTAGCACCCGCTAAGTGCAGGCATCATTTCTAGTCCTAGCCTTACCATTCCACAAACTGATTTAATATTTCAGTTCGAAGTTTCAACAAATCAGATTAGACACTTGATCTTAAAACTACCTAGATATGGTCAAGTAGCATATGAAATAATATACACTGTAGAAGACAATACGATGAAACAAAGAAACAATAAGACAAATATGATGACTTACCATCAAAGTTTCCATCCACAATTCGACTAGCATCATTATAATTATCCATAGAAATAACAGCAACACTGGGCATGAAGTTGAGTATCTTTTCCGTAAATATAGTCTTCCCTGCTCCCGAAGGACCCGCCACCCCAACCAATATTATCCCATCATTCTTTTGTGCTAACAACTGGCATGCTCGAATGACTATAAAAAAACCCTTCTCAAATGATAGTTGATCTTGTATGGCAGCAATCTCATAGCGATTAGAATCTTTCCTTTTCACCAAATGAACTTGATCTTTTAAAAGACCAAGTCGTTTGTTATGAAAATCACAACTAGAAGTATCGTTTGCCATCGAAACAACTCTCAGTTTCCTTAAAAAAAAAACAGAACAAGATATCGTTAACTAGTTTTAAACGAAAAAAATAAACCTACACCGTCAGATAATGATAATAATAATAATAATTCCAATGAAACATGAAAAAACACTGTTCCACACAAAAACAAAAACAAAAACAAAAGAACTACGAACAACTTTTAAGAGGTTTAAAAGGATGGCCCAAAATATAATAATGTTAATAACAAAAGAGAGCGGCAAAAGAATTAAACACAAACCATAACATAAAACATGTTGAAGAATAAAAGCAAAACCCACAAAACACATTCAACCAGACTATTCTGGCAAGAACTGTGGATCCAAAATCAGCGATGAAAACATCAAAAAGCTTGAACAATAACAGAAAATAAACACGAACGGAAGAAGAAAATGCGAACCGAAATTGATCGAATGTGATGATGAGAGAACTCACCGACGGAAGAGTTGAGAGTGAGTTCAGAGAAAATCCAGAAGAGAAGCCATTATTCGTTAAGGTCGGTTTTGCGATATATAATCATGATTTTTATTAATAATATTTTTCTAACCCTTTTTCCAAATCAAAGTAACGTGCGATTTTGTAGGGTATCGCTGGGATGTGGAATCCTAAAGAATCTGTAATCGGAAAGAATGAAAAATCTTCGGAACAATAGAAATGAAAAAGAAAAAAAAAAAAAAACTGTGCCAATCATTATTATTTTATATTAATAAATTTTTAAGGTAAATATTAATATGAAATAAATATATAAGCAGTTCATTATTGATTGTCAAAAAAAATTATATTTTTGTCTGTAAAGTAATTAATTAATAAAAAAAAAGGAAATGACACATAAAATAAATCTCAATAAAAAAAAATATTTTTACACATTAAATGAATCAAATAATTTTTTTTATTTTTAAAATACTAAAATGACATTATAAATATAAGAGTTTTGTGTGAAATTATTTTATAATGTGCATTATTTTTAAATCTTATTTAATAAATTAATATTACAGTTAAATATCTTTTTAATCTCTTTAAATATAGTAGTTTTCAACTTTAATCCCTCTAAATATTTCTTTTAATAAATTATTTCTATAAAAATTAAATTTGCATCCATGATATTTGTCTCTAACATTAAATAGAGTTAATCATAGATGATGTGTTATTCCAAGTGAAATAAAAAAATATTTTTTTAATTTAATTGTTTTTTCTTTTTGTTTAACGTTGCGTGCGTTATTTTCTTCTTCCTTGAGACAAATCAACCACCACTAAAATCTTATACACTGTGTCCACCCTTATCTCCTTTACTCAGCCACCAATAACCATTAAATAACTCTCATATAACCACCTTCGGACTCATATTTTCGACCACCCTTCCAATACCGTAAAACCAACATAACCATCATTTTCCTCTCAATTCACCTTTAAATGAAAGTGATAGAATGATCCAAACAAAAAACTCAAACCACGATTCTCTCTAAGTTACTCCTTTTTTCTCAACTCTCAACAAACCTTCATCGTCCATGGCAGTTTCGGGTTTGAGAAGTGGCGCTTTACCGTTAAGTCATCATCACTGTCTTCGTTCACCATTGGCATCTCCTTCCTTCCTGAAGCTCAATAAGTTCAAGGGATTCACTCTTTTTGCTCGATATGCTCAATCTTGTAATCTTTTCTCCTCTCGTCGATTCCAAGATTTCTTCTTTTAATTCACTCTGGCAATTGTTGTTACAAAGTAAAGTAAATATTAGGAAATTGTTTTATAGTTTGTTATAAAAATTACAATAAATATTTTCTCACATCAGTGTTAGTGTTAAATTAATTACTTTGAATGTGGAATGGTTTGGCTTTTTGTGGTGAATAGATGTCATTCGTGTATTTTGTTATGTCAGATAATATTGAAAAGCTGCCCAAACTTGTGGAAGACATTGTTCAGACATCTATAGAGACAGGTGGACATAAGATAGAAGATTTTAGCAGAGAGAGTATAGGAGATAAGGATGGACACAAGATAGAAGATTTTAGTGGTGGTTGATTTGTCTCAATGAAGAAGAAGATGATGTGTGCACTCTTAAACAAAAAGAAAAAACAATTAAATTAAAAAAATAATTGTTTATTCTACCTGTAATAACACGTCATCTACCATTAACTCTATTTAACGTCAAGGACTAATATTATGAATGAAAAATTTTATAAGAACTTCATTCAAGAAAATGTTTAAAGGGACTAAAGTTGAAAACTGTTATATTTAGAAGGACTAAAAAGATATTTAACCCTTAATATTATTACAACTTTATATTTTAAATATTATTACCAATTTCTTTTGAGTTTTATGTTTTAAAAAACATATATGACTCATAATGTTGTATTATAATTATTATTAAAATAATAATTGTTCTGGATTGGTCTGAAAGCTTGAGTGGACCCAGTCTAAGATATCTCATAGGTGCCACCCACTGACCGTGACTCGGACTGTCCGCACATGTCAGGCAATGTCACCCTGTTATCTTTTTTGTTCAGCTCCGATCCAAGATGCTTGTTGTTGTACTCCAAAATTTGCCCTCTCATTTCTCAAGGAATCACCCTGGATCCTCAAGTTTTCTCTCATCCAATTCTAAGCCTTGAATTATCAATTTTTTCAAGCAAACCATTCACAAGGGCAAAATGGTCATTTTCATACTGAGAAGTCTAACTTTTACTTTTGAATCAAAATCAAATCTAAAAAAAATCATATTTCATCAAGACATGTTGGAATATGAAGTTTGTTTCATCAAGGATTTCAAAAGTCAAATTTTACTTTGGAAAAGTCAAATTCTAAATATTTAGAAATTTTTCTAAGTGTTTAAGAAATATGACAGTTTCAGAACTTCTGGGTCAGTGTTCACACTCAGCAAATTCTGGATATTCTCAAGACAGAGTTTGGTCAGAACTTCTGGACCAGTTTTCACAAAGGTTCAGTCAGAGTTTATCGGGTTAAATCAAAGAAGGTTATTAAGCGTGCTGCAAGCTTATTGGAAAGTCTGAGGGATCCTTCAGAACATGCTGTAGTCAGAAGATAAGAGGATCATAAGGTTAGATGCTACGCTGAAGCAGAACTTCTAATCCAGAGTCAAGCAAGGACGCAGAGTTTCACATGGCAGGATTTCTGATCATCATTTAATGCTCACAACCACTTGTGAGTTGTTATCCAAAGGATTTCTCCCACGTGTACCCTTAATGCCTTGGGAAGACCAATTGTTGTGCAAAAGTATGCTAGGCCCATGCGCTGCTTCTACTTTTCCTTAATTCACGCTGCCAAACCCAGCTTAGGCGTTGTTAACCATCCAACTTGATGCATTGAACCACACTTGTTTAAGATTACTTCAATAGTAAGTCGGCATCTAGTGTATGATGTTGGTGCCACTTGATCTCCCCAAAATACAAAACCTTTGCCTATAAATAGAACATCATTAGCCATTGAGAGGAGGTCGGAAAAATTTGAGAGAAAGGTGTGGAATTTGAGAAAGAAAAGCCTTGAACCCCTGCAAAAATTCTAGGAGTCCAAAAAGATTGCAAACACAAAAATACAAAACCTTAGCATTTGATTCTTGCATTAAAGCTCCATTTTTCTCAAGTTGTTTCCTGAACAAAACCACCCATACAGTTCCTAATATATATTCAAAAGCCATCCAAAATACTGTAATCAAACAGTAACACATTCTCCACCAATATCCACTTCAAAGGATCATAACTTTATCCCTTGGTTGTTCCAGAATCTTCTAATCATTTACAATCCAAGCTGAAAGTTTCCAACCTGGTGAAAACGTGAGGAAGCTGTTCAGAACACCACAAGTGGTCAGAATCAAATTCCAGCTCCCAGAATATTTCTCAGCTGCAAGGTAAGTTCCTGTTGACTTTCATCATACTAATTAGGCATTGTCAGATTTTGCATATTTAACACAATGTAGATATTCTGATTTTGATGGTGTACATATTCTGAGATTTCATGCATCTTCCTGCCTAAATAGAGGGAATTCCAGTTCAGAGTTTCATAAAGAAATTAGGACTCAGAATTAGGATTAGCAAATTCATGTTGCTTCTGATTTGTGTTTTTGATATTTCTTGAAACTTGTCATAACTGTCATGTGTGCAACTTCTGTTCTGTTAAGAAATGACTAAGTTGCAGATGTTCTGACTAGCATGGAGAGAGGCAAAATTATGACGGTTGCATCATAACTTCTGAAAACTTCTGAATTATCAGAAGATCTAGAACTTCTAAACTTCCATATTTTTACTAACATGTTTCTGTTTGTGCAGCACGTCAGAGTCAGAACTTCTGACCTCTTCTGTTTCAGCATTTATGCTGATTTTGTCTTATTTCCTTTATTATTTCTTTTCATCACTTTTATCTTTTATTAATCAAAAAATACCAAAAATATTTCATATTCACATATTATATTTTATTTCTTTTGACATAAAAAGACAAAAAAAAATTTCTTAAATAAACTTATTTCTTTTCTTAAATAAATAAGCATTTTACATTTCTTGTACATTCTTATCTATTTCAATATGGTTGTAATAGTAACCTAGAATTTTAATTTTCAATCCCCATTTGAAATTTGTACACTCCATCCCCCTAAATATTGTAATAGCATAGTGTTGTACCCCAAAATTTGCCCTCCCATTTCCTCAACATTTTCTCATCACAAGACCCTTGGAGCTCAAGATCCAGTTAGGGTTTCCTCTGCTCAAGACTTCTCCTTGCACTGTTGACCCAAATTAGGGTTTGTGTTTGCACAAAGATAGTTTGACCCAAAATGCCTAAGATGACTTTCATACCTCATGTTGGACTCCCAAGTTTATCCATACCAAGTTTCAAGTCTTGATTCCAAATTTTGCCCAGTCAATTGGACAGTTGACCTAGAAATCAACTGTATTGGGGAAAAAGTCAACTGTGGCCAATTGACAGTCAAATCTCATGAAAATTGACCCACATCAACATTATGAACTCACATGGACCATTTGATCAAGTTTGGATCACAATTCCACAAGAAATTTGATCAGATCACCAAAAGGGCAAAATGGTCATTTTTAGGGTTTTGACTGCACAAAGGCAATTTTTGACTGTTTGACCTAGCCAATGGCAAACCAAGCTCACATATGGACTCAAGGACCCCATGGAATTGTCTTGACATACTCAACAAGTTCAAAAGATCCCAAATATACAAGATTGACAGTTGAGTTTCCCAGTCAATTGATCAATTTTGACTGTATACTGAAAAGTCAAACTTTGACTTTTTGGTCAAAATCAAGTGTCAAGATTCATTCTTCATCAAAACATGCCAAATCATGAAACTTGTTCATCAAGAAATCAAGAATTGCAAATTAGGGTTTGAAATGAAGATTTTTCATAACTTAGAATTTTTCTAAGTTATGAAAAACCCTAATTTTTTCCTAACTTTGCCCCACTCTCTCACCAAGATTCATTTGGATTCAAGCAAAAGTCAAAACATGAAAGTTGTAGCCTATTTCAAAATCTACAACTTTGATTCACAAAGTTTTCCCAAAAGAGGCTTGTAGCTCAAGTTACAATTTTTGGAACAAGGGTACCAAACCATTCTTAACTTAGAGAAAATTTGACCTATTTTAGGCAAGGTTTTTGCCTAACTTCAAGACCATTTTTCACATACTTCCACTTGGAATTTAAATTTTCATTTCAAAGATGGATTGTAGCACACATTCCAAGCTTTCCAAAATGTCCAAGAACTCATCAAACAACCTCATGGTTAGGGAGAATCGAATTTGGCAAGTTGGGAAAAACTCACTTTTGATTTGGCCAATTTACATGTTCATACATTTGTGCCATTTTGAATTCAATTTGCTTTCCTTGATTACAGGTCCTATATCCCATTTTCACTCAATAATTTAATACTAACTCATTGTGCCAAGGCCTTGTTTTATGAGTTTAAGCATTACATATTGAACTAAGCCATTTATAGAAAAAGCAAATTAGCCATTCTTGAAAAGTAGGACTTTATGTCAAATGCAAATCCAAGCAAGTACAGTTCAAATCTCCTTGGCACAAGTTTATGGGTTAATTGCACTGATCAAGGCCAAGGTTTTCAGCATATTAGGGGGGCCTCTACCTGTCTAAAAACTCAAGTGGCCATCTCTTGCTTAAGTGTGAAGAAAACTAGCATAACATTACACAACTTTCATCTCAGCTAACACAAGCTTAAGAAAAGACTTTGTACACTTTCTAAACATCCATTCTGAGCTAGAACACGAGCCAACCATCTCCAACACCTTCCCATTCACAGAATCACCATTGAACTGCCCAAAACAGGGCATCCCTGCAGTTTGAGTTCCATAGCTCAAACCTTCCATGCATTCTTGCTAAAAACACTTCAAACACATCCCACAACATCCCTTGAAGCTATTCCAAACCTCAAACACGACCTGTAACACTCCCAGGCAACATCACCATTTTCATTTTCTTGCTTTGCAGTTGAAGTTCCATAGCACGATTCAAAAGGTTTCAAGACAAAGTAAAGCTTGGAATAGCATCCCTGGACATCAAGGAAGTTGTACCAATCATCACCTTGCATTGAAGACACCTTCATCACCAGATACAACTTCAACTGAACAGGTAAGTTCATGAACTTGTATCTCTCTATCCAGGCATTGTTAGCTTTAGGTTTGTGAAGAAAACATGTCACATTCATAGCCCTGAACATGCCCATGTAATTAGATTTCATTTATATTATGTGTGCTTAGAGAATTTTAAGTCTGAACATTGAATAAAAACTAGGTCAGAAATTGGGGGAGAAGAAATTATCTCTCATTTCTGAGAGTTAGGATGAGTTCTTTATATGTCTGGATTTGTGGTTCAATGCTTGACATTTTTCATGTTGGAAGTTTGTGCTAAAAGTCCAGGAATCAGGAGTTGTGGTTGAGGCATCATAGGCGCGCGTTTTTTTCAAATGGTTGTCTGAAGGTTGAAGACAACCTTTCTTGGGCTGGGCCTGAGATCTCTTTTCTGTTTACACACCATTT